CAAACAAATGCAAACATACACACAATCAAATCCTCCCCCACATACACATTCACCTATATACTCTCAACCTTTTCTTTAAATTTCCACATTATTCCCCCCACAGGATTCCTCCACCATGGCTGCTGCTGTGAGTCCCTGCCGAGGACTACTTCTCGTTCTTCTCTTGGCTTCTGTGTTGACTTGCGAGACAGAAGCTAAATTCGCCAGAGCAGCTACGCACGGTAAGGAGGAACACGAGGGTTGTCCTGTGGGTGGGTCAGAAACGAATGAATGAATTAATAGTTCATTCATTTCAAGGGTATTTGTCAGATCGTAGCACGGGTTCAGATAGAGAATAGTGGTTTGTTTGTTGGTATAAAACATAGTGTGTAATAAATCTTTGGATTATTAGGAAATGGAAATATTAGATATATAGGTATATTAGGTATATAGGCAAACTCGGTCTTTATTTCGTACATGTAATGGAACCTACTTGTTAGTTGTATGAGACAATACTTCTTGATCTTTAGCCATTATGTCATCGGTGAATTCAAGGAATCATACTAAATGAATATACGTTTCAAGGGATTATACCATTCATGTTATCAAGGGGTCATACCAACTGAATCAATGTTTTCAAGGGATCATACCAATTGAATAAATGCTTTCAAGAGGTCATACCAATTACATAAACGTTTTCATGGGGTCATACCAGTTGAATAAATGCTTTCAAGGAGTCATACCAATTACATAAACGTTTTCATGGGGTCATACCAGTTGAATAAATGCTTTCAAGAGGTCATACCAATTACATAAACGTTTTCATGGGGTCATACCAGTTGAATAAATGCTTTCAAGAGGTCATACCAATTACATAAACGTTTTCATGGGGTCATACCAGTTGAATAAATGCTTTCAAGAGGTCATACCAATTACATAAACGTTTTCATGGGGTCATACCAGTTGAATAAATGCTTTCAAGAGGTCATACCAATTACATAAACGTTTTCATGGGGTCATACCAGTTGAATAAATGCTTTCAAGAGGTCATACCAATTACATAAACGTTTTCATGGGGTCATACCAGTTGAATAAATGCTTTCAAGAGGTCATACCAATTACATAAACGTTTTCATGGGGTCATACCAGTTGAATAAATGCTTTCAAGAGGTCATACCAATTACATAAACGTTTTCATGGGGTCATACCAGTTGAATAAATGCTTTCAAGAGGTCATACCAATTACATAAACGTTTTCATGGGGTCATACCAGTTGAATAAATGCTTTCAAGAGGTCATACCAATTACATAAACGTTTTCATGGGGTCATACCAGTTGAATAAATGCTTTCAAGAGGTCATACCAATTACATAAACGTTTTCATGGGGTCATACCAGTTGAATAAATGCTTTCAAGAGGTCATACCAATTACATAAACGTTTTCATGGGGTCATACCAGTTGAATAAATGCTTTCAAGAGGTCATACCAATTACATAAACGTTTTCATGGGGTCATACCAGTTGAATAAATGCTTTCAAGAGGTCATACCAATTACATAAACGTTTTCATGGGGTCATACCAGTTGAATAAATGCTTTCAAGAGGTCATACCAATTACATAAACGTTTTCATGGGGTCATACCAGTTGAATAAATGCTTTCAAGAGGTCATACCAATTACATAAACGTTTTCATGGGGTCATACCAGTTGAATAAATGCTTTCAAGAGGTCATACCAATTACATAAACGTTTTCATGGGGTCATACCAGTTGAATAAATGCTTTCAAGAGGTCATACCAATTACATAAACGTTTTCAAGGGATCATACCAATTGAATAAATGCTTTCAAGAGGTCATACCAATTACATAAACGTTTTCATGGGGTCATACCAGTTGAATAAATGCTTTCAAGGAGTCATACCAATTAAATAAATGTTTTCATGGGGTCATACCAGTTGAATAAATGCTTTCAAGAGGTCATACCAATTACATAAACGTTTTCATGGGGTCATACCAGTTGAATAAATGCTTTCAAGAGGTCATACCAATTACATAAACGTTTTCATGGGGTCATACCAGTTGAATAAATGCTTTCAAGAGGTCATACCAATTACATAAACGTTTTCATGGGGTCATACCAGTTGAATAAATGCTTTCAAGAGGTCATACCAATTACATAAACGTTTTCATGGGGTCATACCAGTTGAATAAATGCTTTCAAGAGGTCATACCAATTACATAAACGTTTTCATGGGGTCATACCAGTTGAATAAATGCTTTCAAGAGGTCATACCAATTACATAAACGTTTTCATGGGGTCATACCAGTTGAATAAATGCTTTCAAGAGGTCATACCAATTACATAAACGTTTTCATGGGGTCATACCAGTTGAATAAATGCTTTCAAGAGGTCATACCAATTACATAAACGTTTTCATGGGGTCATACCAGTTGAATAAATGCTTTCAAGAGGTCATACCAATTACATAAACGTTTTCATGGGGTCATACCAGTTGAATAAATGCTTTCAAGAGGTCATACCAATTACATAAACGTGGACTGCGACAATCTCCGCAGGACTTCGTTGGGAATCCTGTCCTGCACACAGGTTAGGGACAGGTATGTATCCTTTGCATGAGCGCGTATGCATGAATATATATTACTTTGAGTGTGGTTGCATATATATATATGTGTGTGTGTTGGTGACTATATGTGTGTGTGTGTGTGTGTGTATGTGTGTATGCTCACACAGCAGATATTTATAAATATATTCATTAATTAATTCATCGAAATTTGTTTTATGTAATCATTTCCTCCTCTTCTTCCCATTAGGCTGGACTGCCTGAAGAAAATGCGCGACGGAGAGGCAGAGTTCGGTTACTTCGAAGCCGAGGACGTGAATCTGGCCTCCCTGTCCTTCAGCGGGAAATTTGAAGCCGTCGTCAAGCTTTGTAAGTTACTGTTTTATATCTTTATTTCTTTTTCTTTTCTTTTTTTCCTGATTTACTTTATTGTCCTTTTTTGTTTGTTTTTTTACTTTATTGGTTTACTTATTTGTTTTTGTTTTCATTATTATTATTATTAGTTTACGCTCGTTGTCATCAAGGCACATATAAGATATATTATTAAACATATAAATAAGTACATATAAGTATTAAAGTACCTTAGAAATCACGGGTTCTTTCTCTTTTCTACTTTTCTAAATTTCGTTATTGTTTTGTTTGTGTTCAGCAAATTACTTATAAATCAGAACGTTTATTTTTAAGTATTATGGCAGTGGATCTTATAATTTCTTACTTTGGTTTAATGTTTTCAAATTGTTTCATTTTCTTCGTGTCATGTAAGTTTACGTGTCTTTTTAAATGTCTTTTTAGCTTCTTATTTTATATTTCATTATATTTTTAGCTTTTCTTTTGGTATTTCATTATATTCTTAATTTTTTATTTTAGTAGATGATTATAGTTTTAGCTTTTTATTTTAGTAGAATATTTACATACTAAATATACGTTGGTGTTGTGTCATATTATCAATTGCATCTATTCTCTTTTCTACTGTTTATTTCCTTTTCTTTTTACCAATTTTCGTTTTTTTTTTCTTCTCGTACCAATTTTTGTTTGTTTGTTTGTTTGTTTACCCTTTCTTTCTTTCTCTTATCTCTACTTTTTTTTCGTTTTTTCTTCATTCTTTCTATTTCTCTTTTCTAATTTTCCTACCTTGTTTTTCTTCTTTTTTCCTTCCTCTTCTCTTTACTTTTTCCCCATCTTTATTTTTTTTTTCTTCTCTTTCCCATTTCTTTCTCTCACCTCCATTTTTTTTTTCTTATTTTTATTATCTCTCTCTCTCCCTCCCTCTCTCCCTTCCTCCCTCCCTCTCACCTCATTTATCGTTTTTTTTCCCCTCTTCCTCCCAGCTCATCCCGAGAACGAAGTCCGCCGCGTGTTCATGCTGGTTCACAACGCTTCGAACCCGAGCCCGAAGAGCCTCTGCCACCCGGGGTTCAATCTCCAGAGGCTCTTCCCCCTCGCTCTCCACCGCCCCCCCACCCCCTCCACCAAGGACATGCTGCTGAGTGTTCAGGTATTTTTAAGGGGATGTTTGTTGTTATTATTATTGTTATTATTATTGTTATTATTGTTATTATTGTTATTATTTTTCTTATTATTATTATTGTTATTATTATTATTATTATTATTGTTATTATTATTATTATTATTGTTGTTGTTATTATTATTATTATTATCATTATTGTTGTTGTTATTATCATCATTGTTATTGTTATTATTGTCATTATTATTATTGTTATTATTATTATTATTATTATTATTATTATTATTATTATTATTATTGTTGTTGTTGTTGTTGTTGTTGTTGTTGTTGTTGTTGCTATTATTATCATTATCATACTTTTTTTTTTTTTTTTTTTTCTGGGGGTTGTACTTGTATATTTGTTCAGATTACGATATTAGGATAAAACGAATGAATAGGTGCATATATAGAGATATTCCCACATCTGCCAGCTAAAAAACAAAAACAAAAAACAAACGCAATATCCCCCTACAACATATATAGAAACATCATTCATCCACACACCATAACCATTAGGAAAAAATTAACGCACTGCAATACATAATAATTAAACAAACATTAATACCTCGACATCCACACAATCAGAACCGCGCACCAGAATCGTCTTTAAATCCAAATATGCACTTCTAACACCCTCCCCCCCCCCTCTCTTTATCCCTCCCTTCCAGAATCACATCCAGATGCTGGCGAGAGATTGGACGAGCGCTTGCATCCCCGGAAAGTGGTCTCAAGATCCCACTACGGATCGCCAGCTCAGTGAGTTGATTTTTCGTGTGTTCTTTGTCTTGCGTTTGTTCTCGTGGTGTCTGGGATTTAGTTGTTTTTTTGCGATCTTTCTCTCTTTCTCTGATACTTTCGCTTTCTCTATTTTTTTTCTTTCTTTCTTCTGTTCTCTCTTTCTCTTTCTCTTTCTCTTTCTCTTTCTCTTTCTCTTTCTCTTTCTCCCTCTCTCCTCTCTCTCCTCTCTCCTCTCCCCATCTCTTCTCCTCTCCCACCCTCCCTCTCTCCTTCCCTCATTCCCTCCCTCCCTCCATCCCTCCTTCCCTCTTTCCCTCCCTCCTTCCCTCCTTTTCCTTCTTTATCTCATGTATATCAATGATGATTAAAATGCCAATACAATAAATATAAAGAAATAATAAATCAAACCCTTCCTAATCCTTTCCCACTTACCTTGTCTCACGAAGAGCGGCGTTATAGCCACCTGTGCAGCGCGTGCCCCGGTGAGAACTGCGACGGGGCGGACACCTATGCAGGCTCGGGCGCTCTCACGTGCCTTTTCGATCGCGTGGCAGATGCGGCCATTGTCTCCGATGTCGACTTCCGCAGGCAGAGGGATGTGGTAAGGAGGAGCGTTGCGGAGGTTGAGATGGAGAGAGTGATCAAGATGGGTCGATGGGGGGAAGTGAGAAAGATAGAAGGAGGGATGGGGGAAGGAGAGATGAAAGATAGATAGAAGGATATATATATATATATATATATATATATATATATATATATATATATAGAGAGAGAGAGAGAGAGAGAGAGAGAGAGAGAGAGAGAGAGAGAGAGAGAGAGAGAGAGAGACTGTTAATTAAGTGTAACTGTTGATCTGACCACATATAACGTACATATACATGAACATTTCTCAAACCTGTAAAAAGCAGCCTCTTCATGGAAGACACGTCCCCTCCCCTCGCAGAATCCGCAGGTGAAGGACCTATACCACTTCTGCCGCGTCGGGAATGGCAGCGTGCAGCCCCTCGGACCAGCCACCGTCGACGACAGGGAGCCGTGCGACTGGGGTCAGCGCCCCCCCTCAGTCCTGCTCACCCCCCCGTGCGGAAAGGATTCCTGCCAGTGAGTTTTGAACGTGTTTTTTTGTTTTGTTTTGTTTAATGTCTCATTAGAAATGAAAAGGAAGGAGAGGTAGGTGTTCTCGGGGATGGAGGATTGGGGATTTCTCCTTGTATTTCCTTTTCTATGGTCGAAGGGAAAAGAAAAATAGTTGCACATGGGGAAGGAAAAGCTAAAGCGTCTTTTCGGATTTCCTTTCAGAACCATGCGAGATCTCTGGGTCAGCGGGATCATTGGCCATTCAGAGAGTGTGGCCCAGATCCTTGGCATTCCCTCGTCCACCAAGTTCGAGGCCATGGAGACCGCGCTCTCGCCTGCGAGGATCATTAAGAACGGTAACTTTGGCTGAGCCTTTCTACGCTGATATGGATATTCACAACACATACAAGCATCCATTTTTCCAGCTTACAGTCAGTCAGGGGGATGATGCCACTCCATAAGTAACAAGTAAGCCACATCGTCCATAATCAGGTGACTAACTCCCCTTCCCCCTCCCCTCCCTCCTGCAGCCGGCTACAAACTGGGCCAAAGCCTGATCAAGAACCCCGTCCGCTTCTGCGTGACGAACGAAGCCGAGTTAGCCAAGTGCCGCGACCTGCAGATGGCGGCGGAGGCGTACGGTGTCGGTGCCAATGTCGGGGTCGACTGCGTCCTGGACAACATCGACTCGCACTGCTACCCGGACATCTACCTTGGGAGAGCTGATGTCATCGCCCTTGACGGGGGAGATGTCTACCAAGTCAGGCAGTGAGTCTCAGCCTTGTATGTGTGTGTGTGTGTGTGTTATTGGTGTGTGTCTTAACTGTCTGGTTGTCAGTCAGCACTTGTTTTGTTAATGCACTGCGTTATTTCCACAGAGATTATGGGTTCGACCGCCTTCTGAGTGAAGTATATAACAGCACTTCGGGCAGGACGACGTCGTCATACTACGCTGTGGCCGTGGTGAGGGCAGAATCCAACATCACCTATTTCTCTCAACTTAGAGGACGGAAGTCTTGCCACACAGGCATCGGGAAGACCTCAGGTGAGAAATGACATCATCATAAAGCGATCTGCGATCCCTAACCTGAGCTACATCGAAAGGCATAAACCCCATGACTTGTTTCCAATACTACCTTTGTCACCGTCTCAGGCTGGAAGATGCCCGTGGCCATGCTTCTGAAGGAGCGGCTGATCGACCCCCGCCACTGCAACTACATCAACGCCGTCGCCGAGTTCTTCACGGGAGGCTCCTGCGCGCCCGGAGCCAAATCCAGCAAGTACAACCCCAACGGCAACTATGTGGAGTCGCTCTGCCGCCTCTGCAGGGGGGGCACGGACACCCACTGCGTCAGGGGAACCAGCGAGCCCTTCTACTCGTACTCGGGGGCCTTCAGGTGTCTGGTTCAGGGCGGAGGGGACGTCGCCTTCGTCAAGCACACGACCGTCCCCGACCACACAGGTAAGCCGGAATCCACAACGCAGGATTCAGTTGCGATGCAGACCCTGTGTATTTGCCAAGATTCTTCCTTAGAATTTACTAATAAATTACTTTTTAAAAAAATCCTTTCCAGATGGACACAGCACTGCCTCATGGACGGTGGGCCTTCGTTCAGACCAGTTCAAGCTCCTGTGTTCGACCGGAGACCGAGCGGCGGTGACCGAATATAAGACCTGCAACCTGGCCATGGTTCCCGCACACGAGGTCAGCGTTCTGTTCTTTGCTTTTGTGGATGTAGTGGACGAAATTTCTTTTATGTAAATCCGAAAATTAGCGTTCCTCAGAAATATTCCAGACATTAATTCTGATGTGTGTATAATGAAAATAAAATTAACACACACACACACACACACATACACACACACACACACACACACACACACACGCGCGCGCGCGCGCGCGCGCGCGCGCGACAAAGAGAGAGAGATTAACACATAAACACCGCAACTCTTCTCCAAAGGTCGTTGTGTCTGGCCGAATGCGCGAGCCGAGAAAAGCTCAAGTGCGCGATGTCCTTCTTGGCGTCTCCGAGGCCTTCGGCAGCGCCGCCCCCGGGAGCAAGACCTTCAGGTACAATTTTTTATCTCCGACTACGATGCTTGATAACATAACATTTCAGTGAAAGGAAGAATGCTATTGATTATATTTCGTTATTTTGAACGTCGTATCTCAACCATGTTTAATACTACTTTTGATAAGTAAAATAGTCATGGACAAAAACACGAATGATTAATCTGTATTTATCTAGTACAAATGATTTTTATAAACAAGGAAACCAATCGAGGGAAAATGTGATTTTATTTCATATTCTAATATCATCATAATCATTAGTATTATCAACCTCACCGTTATCATTATTATTTATTCTATCATCATTATTTACTTCACAACACCAACACAATGCTAAAGCCATTTTTTTTTTTTTTATATTAGTCTCTTCGGGAAGTACCAGGGGCTGCCTGACCTACTCTTCAAGGATTCGGCTGTGGGTTTAAAGGCACTGACTGAGGACACGACGGAGGAAAGGAGGAATAAAGAGGATTATTTTAAAAAGCTTGATGAACTGCATTCTTGCGAAAGTAGGTGGTCGTCTGTTTTCGTTTTTGTTTTTCCGTTTCTGCTCTCTCTCTCTCTCTCTCTTTCATTCTACTTCTCTTCCTCCCATTTTCTCTCCCTATCCCTTTCCATCCCATTCCCTTCCTTTCTCCCTCCTCCTCAGTCATCATATGCTTATGACATTAATAATGATAATATCAGTAACGATAATAATAAAAACGATAATATTAGTTATAAAGATAAGCCCGAAAATAATAATAATTATCATTATGGTGATGATGATTAGAACACTAATAACAACAACAATTTTCCCAACCCCGCAGTCCGCGTGTGTGCCTTGGAGGATGAAATGGAGGACTGCGAAGCCATGGTCGCTGACATGTGGGCAGAGGGGTACCGCTTCGTTTGCGCCAGTGCTAGGGACAGGTACGTAGCTGTGTGTGGTAGTGAGGTGGTACAGTCGTCCGGGTGTGTACATGTGGTTGCGTTGTAGTATGGTAGTGCGATATCGTGGAAGTAAGGTTCTGTGGTAGTGGGGTAATGTGGGAGGGAGATAGTGTGGCAGTGTTACATTGTGGTAATGAGGAATTTTGGTCCAGATACCGAGGCAGGAGTTCGATTTATGACGATTTATAGATTGGATGTTTTGCTACGTTACTATTGCTGTGCGAGTTTGTGTATGTATACAGAATTAGAAAAGGGGAGAGAGAGAGAGAGACAGACAGACAGACAGACACAGAGGGGGAGAGAAAGAAGAGCCAGACAGAGAGAGCGAGAGAGAAGAACCAGACAGAGAGAGAAAGAGAGCGAGAGAGAAGAGCCAGACAGAGAAACACCGAAAGACAATAACGGAGACAGAAAACAAAGAGAGAGAGAAAGAGAAAGAGCTCGAGAGGATACTCAGGCCGCCCTTCCGCCCACAGACTGGACTGCATGAGGCGGGTGAAGCTGGGCCAAGTGGACATGTCTCCTCTCACCGGGCGCTACCTCGGCCTTGATAACTTCAGGGTGTTCGCCGTCATGAGGGACCCGGCCTTCGCTGCAGGTTAGTGTTGGCGACGGTGGCGAGGGGATGGTGGTGGGGAAGGTGATGATGATGATGATTCTTTTTGTAATAAGAATAAGAATAAGAATGATAATAATAATGATAGAAAATGATGATTATAGCGAAAATAATTATTTTCTTTCATTATCGTTGTTATTTGTATTGCCATTATTATAATAATTATTATTAATATTATGTTATATCATCATCATCATCACCATCACCATCATTATTATGACATCAATTAATAACAGCAACAATATCAACTTCAACAACAGTCCAAAGAAAGCTATCCCTGCCCCCCCCCCCCAAAAAAAAAAAAAAAATCAACAATACCAACAAATACTCAAATTGATTTTTTCATCATAATAAAAAATAAACGCGTTTCCCTCCAACCCCGCAGACGAGTTCCGGTACAAGGCAGTGACTGTGGTGAGGCGTTCTCGCGTGGCCAAGATCTCCGACTTGAGGGGCACCAAGTCTTGTCATACGGGGTACGGAAGGACGACCGGATGGAGGATCCCTGTGGCGCTGGTGAGGAATATCTTAAGAGTAAAGGAAGGAGGAGAGGGAGAAGTTTCGATGGTTTAGCTTTGGGTTTAAATTCTCTGTTGAGTTAGAGTTTGGCGAGGATTTGTCGGTGGTTTTATTTTCTCTATTACGGGGGAAAGCGTCAGGTGGTTTATCTTCTTTGTGAAAAAAAGGGATAAATGGAAAACTAGTAATAATTGTATATATTTCTTCTTTTTTTTCATTTCTTTATTTACTTTTTTTATATAACAACCAAAACATCGTTTATTTCCTCATATAGCTTTCCGATTCAGATATAACATCATATTCTTTCAATTAACACAGTCATTCACGTGTTGCAAACCTTCCTCACGCCCACCCGCCCACCTCCCTCTTACAGCTGAAGCGCGAGGGCGTGATCTCCCCCTCATGCGACCCCCACCAGTCCGCCCTTGAGCACGAGATCGCCGGCGTGGCTACGACCTTCAACCGGGCCTGCGTTCCTGGCGACTGGTCCTCGTCGGAGAGCTTCGACAGAGATCTCAGTAAGCTGCCTCTTTGTGTGTGATAATAAACAATAAATAAAATAAAACATACAAACAAACAAATAAATAAAATACAAAAAGCCCTAACGCCCTTCTCCCTTCTCCCCCCTCCCCCTCCAGAGAACAAATACTCCTCCATGTGCTCCATGTGCAGGAGCAAGAGGTGCGACAAGAACGACGAATACGCAGGCTACACGGGGGCCCTGCGCTGCCTGACGGAGGGGGGCGGCGACGTGGCCTTCTCGAAGCTGTCGGTGGTGAAGGACTACTTCCAGGTGGGTTGGCGGGCTTCTAGGTGGGTGTGTGTGTGGGTGTGGGTGTGTGTGGGGGGGGGGTGACGGGGTTGCGGGCGTCCTTGGGGGTGGGGGGGGGTTGAGAGCTTCCAGGTGAGTTTGGGGATTCCAGGTGGGTTTGTGGGCTTCTAGGTGGGTTTCCGGGTTTCTAGATGGGTTTGCGGGCTTCTAGGCAGGTTTGCGGGATTCCAGGGGGGGTTGCGGGTTTCTAGGTGGGTTTCCGGGCTTCTAGGTGGGTTTGCGGGCTTTTAGGTGGGTTTGCGGGATTCCAGAGGGGTTTGTGAGCTTCTAGGTGGGTTTGTGGGCTTCTAGGTGGGTTTCCGGGTTTCTAGGTGGGTTTGCGGGCTTCTAGGTAGGTTTACGGGATTCCAGGAGGCTTTGCGGGCTTCTAGGTAGGTTTCAAGGTTTCTAGATGGGTTTGCAGGCTTCTAGGTGGGTTTCCGGATTTCTAGGTATCATCTAACAACCCCTTTTTTCCTTCTGACCCAAAGAACACTCGCGCATTTGTCTCTGAGGCCTACGGTTTGCTCTGCCGCGACGATCGAGTGGTGCCCATCTTCTCTCCTGAGGCTGATGAATGCTACTGGGCTGCGCGACCCTGGGATGCTTACGTTACCTCGGTTGATGCCAGGTGAGTTAACGAGGGAACAGTTTCACACACACACACACACATGCACGCACGCACGCACGCACGCACGCGCGCACACACACACACACACACACACACACACACACACACACACACACACACACACACACACTCACACACACACACACACACACACACACACACACACACACACACACACACACACACACACACACACACACACACACACACACACACTCACACACACACACACACACACACATCGAGTCAAACAGACAATACAATTACTCAGAAAAAAAACGTCCGACCTAGCCTCTCTCTCTCGCAACCCCAACTCATATCCTGCCTTTTCCCTCCAGCGACGCCAAGGCCCAGAAGCTGTTCTCGGCACTAACGCAGGCGAGGCTAAAGGGCGAGGAGAACCTGAAGGCTCGCAAGTGGTACTCCAGTACACTTGGAATCAAGCAGAACCTTCAGGACATCTTCCCCATCTTAGTGAACGTCACCACTCAGGAATTCTACGGCAAGAGTGAGTTGCTTTTGAGGATATTATTTATGCTTATCTATTCGGCATTATATATTCATTTGCTCATACTAACATATATATACAACACACACGCACTGGTGGCAGACAACAATAGTGATTTCTCATTAAGGAGACACTCTTTTCAAGCTACTGAAACTCTACTGCACTTAAAAAGCCTAACCCTCTGACACCACGACCCAACAGCACAAATGAACATCGTGGAAGCAGAGGAGATGTGTCCTGAGAAACCCGTGAGGTTCTGCGGGATACAAGCGGACGAGCTGAGCAAATGCACAGACCTGGAAGCTGTTCTCAAACTGCGCGGCGTGTCTCCTCCCTTGCAATGCGTCATGGGCACCACCCTCAATGACTGCCTCAATCTCATCACACGCAACAAGGCGGATCTCATGACTCTCACTGACAAGCAGAGATTCAACACGCATCAGTATGTAACTTTTTATGAGTTTTATCTTGTTTGGTGGATACACTTTTTCTTCATTTGATTATTCATTTGATATATATTGAGTTGTTGTTGGTTTGAGATTATGTGCATTTATCATAAAGAACATATTTTTTTCAGCTTCTCTTGGGTCTGAAACAAATGGAGTCATAAAAAAATAGAAATAACGAATACATATAAACCCTTTAGATTACTGCTTTTCTAACCATTCTTTTACCTTTCTTTCGCAGAGCATACAACCTAGTAAGCCTTTTGTCTGAGAACTACGGCCAAGCTAAAGATAGTCTATACTACCTGTTGGCTGTTGTTTCAAAGTCATCTGGAATCAATTCAACGAGTGACTTGGCTGGTAAATCGTCATGTCAGAAATCGAGAAGTAAGTGAAGAGTATTTTTTTTCCATATTTTCCATAAAGGGATACAATAATTTCAAGGTCAATAACAAATGTATTTGGTGGAACTCGACCTGTATGTAAATGAAATAAGAAAATAAATACCCAGATTCCAAAGCTGATAAGATACTCAAAGCCAAGATACAAATACGAAATCATCTTAAACACAACTTTATGCTCAACACAGATGGCACAACAGCTGATCAAATTGACGCCGAACTAAAGGAATGTCTCAGTGGCTCAAGTGAATTCTTCGAAAGCTTCAGAGATGCATTAGTATGTCTTAATGTAGGACATAAGGACGTGGCCTTTGTCAAATACCCCGCAACCGAGCCTACAGGTAAATGAGTCTTCCTTCTATGTTTTAATTTTAGGTATCAGAATATCAAGCTTTATTATTTTTGTTTAAATTATTTCGTTATCATTATCACCATCTTCACCATTTTTATTATTATCGCTACTGGTATTATCATTATCATTATTATTTTAGCCACATCTAATACAGTTTTCATGAATGTTAGAGTAGTTTGTTAACCTTTTCTTTTTTTTCTTTCTTTTTCTTTTTCTGCTTCTCCTTCTTTTTCCTGTGATAATTTGGGCCGCTGGTGCTGACCACTTTGACCTCTCTTCAGTTTCCTCTTTGCTGACCTCTGCTATCTCCATGCCCTCTTCCACGCAGTCCATCCACTTCCACTTTGTGCCTTCCCCATTGTTTCATCCTCTCTTCCTTTTCCTCACATCTGCCCCTCTTTCTCTTCCTTACATCTTCCACAACAACCTCTTCCTCCATTCTCCACTCTCGACCTCTTCCTCATAACTTCTCTTCTCCTTTGCCTCTTCCCTGCATCTTTTATTCTTCCCTTCTTCCTCTTCTCCACATCCAATACCATGACCCTCCTACATGAACATACTAACTAAAATATGTTTTCTCTCCAGACACAGACCAACTTGAAAACTTGAACAGCGACAACTATCAGCTGCTGTGTCCTACTGGTGTTGCTCCTGTCCATGAAGATCACCTTAAGGAGTGTAATCTTGGGCGGATTCCTGCTAATGTGGTGAGTAACAGGTGGTGTGATGAGTAATTATTCGGTAGTAATTAGTCAGTTGGATGTGTGGTGCAGTCTAGCGAGTCATTAGGACATGGGGACAAATGATGAGTTGTGATGGGTCATTTTAAGTGAGTGAGTGGCCAGGAGTGAAGAGTATTAATGAGTCTATTAGGTGAGTAACCAAGAGTGTGATGAGTGATGATGAGTCTGTTATGTATGTGACCAGTTGTGTGAAATGTTGATGAAAGTACTATTTACTCACTTCATGAAATTTCTTTTCTGCAGATTGTGACACGGCAGACGGAGACAGGAGCTAGCAAAGAGAACATGAGACACCTGATGTTGACTGCTGCTGATAACTTTGGAAAGTCTGATTCGTTCTTCAGACTTTTTTATGAGTATTTCTCTTCAAAGGATCTTCTTTTCAAGGTAAGTTTTTGGTTACTGTTTTTAGTGTAATTTCCTAATTTACTTATATATCTTTTTCAGATTAAGATATTTCCTTTCACCTCTGATTTTAAATGAATTGATCATAAAACACTTAAATAAACATTTCTTTATTCAGTAATACCTTCCTCGGGTGACAATATTTTATTTCAACCATGACTCTGAATGGATTTACCTTTATAAAGTACTAAAGCAAACCTCTCTCTCCACAGGACCAAACCACAGACCTAAGTGTGCTTTCAGACGAACACTACCAGACCGAGGTTATGAACATGTTCTCTATGGCTTGCAACCTTTATAGTCACCACATTCGCACAAGCTCTTGGCTCAATACATAAAAAAAAACTTTCTTTGGAGCAATTGTAGTCTTTATTCTACAATTGCTGTAGAATAAAGATCTGGGATTATTTAGGATTCTCTTTGGATATTCCCCTTTCTACTACTTATTGGGAAGGTCATAATTCCTTTTATTCCTTTTACCCTTTTTCTGAACCGATATAAAATTACTTTCCTCAAAATAATATGTGCCGCAAATAAGGTCAAAGGAAGAGCTATAGGATTGTTGGATGATGCTATAACAAAAGCAGATGTAATGCAATTACTGGAATTACTCTGAGGCATTCCGTATGTGCACTACCTTGTAGGTACTACTGAAAGATTAAGTAAAAATTATAATTAAATAATGTTATAAATCTATGGTAATGATAGCCTGAAATCCCCAAGGTTTAGTATGATTCTTGTGACATTCCCAAGTTTGTGTCATTTACAATAAATTTATAATGCTTAAACTGTATCCATACAAGGGAAAGAGCAGTTTTCAGGTTCACGCTTTGGCCACCACTGGTCACTCTTGTTTCGTATCCAAACAAGAAGACAAGGTGTATGCATTTTAATGGTTTGCCTACATTTCCTTGCCTGTGGTGTCATCTCCATACGGGCCCACAACCCATTTTTCAGATGAGGGAAATACATGATTTGGTAACAATGCTTGACTGCAAAGGCTCTAACCCATGTGTGGACACAGCTTTACTTTTTTTGTAATTTTTACAAATGGTGTAGATATCATTTATCTGTTGGTTAAACAAATATCCTTTTATAATAAACTGAAATAGCTCTGAAGATTTGCAAGGGTTATTGTGAAAATGAGCAACTGTTGATAGCTTGCAAACTATAATATATTTGCACAGGTACCTAAAACAGGTATGAAGCTTTGTCCTCTCCACATCCAGTGTAATAAATGCTAGTTTTAAATGTATTTAAAATACATGACAATAGGGGCAACAGATACAAGAGTCAAAACTGGTGGTTCACAAACTGGTACACGTGCACAGTAAAAGGAAGTGAAGGCGACATACTGAATGATATATAAACAAGAAATGCTTAGAACTTGCAAGAAAAATATATGAGCTGTATAGTCATCAGGATGTTTATATTAATTACCTGCTTCTTTGGGACTGCTATGTTTCCTATTAATTATTGTTGAATGATGTTCATTCACTACATAAATATATGTTAGAGGCAATATGTTGTTTAATATACACTGATATACATTCACAAGGAAGAACTGTGCATTATAGATGTGTAATTATATGTCTGTGCCTGTCCTGAACCTATACAAATTAAATGAGGAATATTAATGCTCAAGCAGTTAAGAAAATTAGGCAACTTTTGTGAGAAAACACTTTTTTACATTTGTTGCTTATGGTTCCCAGGCTGATTCTGCACTCAATATCCGTGCATTTCCTGTAACCAGTAAATTTAGTTTGTAATGAAACATGAACAGCACAGAATATTGAGAGACAAATGTAGCTTACATACAGAATTTCAGTAACATGGGTCATAATAAAACCATAAGGTCTGAAGAATTATAACTCTTTTATTTCATTACCCTGCATTAAACTTAAACATAACATGGATACTCTTCTTCCCAGGTAAGGAGCTCTTACAAGTACAGAATAGTAAATAGGAACACAAGTAACTTCAATGCTGCTATTAGCACTGATATGCAATTATAATCATCCAAATAGCATCTTCAAATTGCAAACATTGAAAGCCAAGGGTTTGTTTCCTTGTCTAATATATTTCATAGAACATTATTCCAACTGTTGCAAAAAAACAATAATATATAAAATACAATATACCTGTAGTTTGGTTCTCCAGCTCCTCAAAAAGCGGTACATTTTCTATGAAGAAACTACAAATCAACAGTGAAGTATATGTATATTTTTCTTTGTCATAAATCGAATGAAAACCATCAATACATGCTTTTAAAAAAATACTTCTAAAGATATTAAGGAAAAAAAGCCTCCACTACCTATCAAAGTTTACCAAAAATATCCTGAGTGGAATTTGAGAAAAGCAAAACAGAACTAGTTTCATTGGAAAAAGAAATATCATAAAAGGTGCAGATGAACAACTAATTTCAGCGGCAGTGGTTCTTAATAAATAAATATTCTCATTACCAAAGTGACAAACACTTAAATTCTAATCTCTGAATATATGCTTCACATAATATAAGGTTTATATCTCACAACATTTAACAAACCTGCAATGTCACACTTTATGGTAAGTGATTGGAATATGATCACAGTTTTACCAAATTTAATTCATCTAAATTCACCTGTCTAAATCATCCTTCATGTAAACTTTGCAAACTACAGATACAAGTTTTCAAGAATCCAATAATAATGGCACATTTTTCTAGCATGGACAAACAAAGTAATGATGCATTCATATCTGCAACATCACTTGTCCATTTCAACCTAATTCTCTGACTGAATAAACAATAGCTGCCTAAGGGTAAAGCATCATAGCACTCACAAGGAAAAAAATCACAGAATATATGTATACACAATATCCTTTGCAATTAAACAAAATCAATTAAAACTACTGAACATAACAGAATGATGCAATGGCACAGAAAATGGAGCAATTAAAAGTATCGCAATAAAAAAATCATGATGAGCACTGTCAGAAAAAGCTGACCATACAAGAACATACATTGGAATTACATATCGTAAATTGACACCATGACTGCATCTATTTACATGCACTGTACTCAGCCATTTTGTTTCAGTTATTTTGTTTATGAATGTATGGTTCCTGAAGTGTTTATTCACCGAGAAAGCAATTTGTGAGTCTCGTGACCTGGCCCATTTACCCTATTTCTGGAATATTTGAGATTTTTTTTTCTCTTTTACAAAATTACGAGCGGTCAGTGCATGTACCTACCATCGATGGATTATAGTAACTTAATTATGGTACAAGAGACAGTGACTGTAATAATAATGAAAATAATAATAATAATAATAATAATAATACCAGTAATGGTAATAGCAAAAGCAAAATTAAAAACAATGATGATGATTATGATGATTATGATGATGATGATGATGATGATGATGATGATGATGATGATGATGATGATGATGATGACGATGACGACAAGAAGAAGAAGAAGAAGAATGATAATGATAAAAAAATAATAATGATGATGATGATGATGATGATGATGATGATGATGATGATGATGATGATGATGATGATGATGATGATGATGATGATGATGATGATGATGATATTGATAATAATAATAATAATAATAATAATAATAATAATAATAATAATAATAATAATAATAATAATAATGATAATTACAATAATATTAATGATAATGATAATAATAATAACAATAACAATAACAATAATAATAATAATAATAATTATAATAATGATAATGATAATGATAGGAGGAGGAGGAGGAGGAGGAGGAGGAGGAGGAGGAGGAGGAGGAGGAGGAGGAGGATTGATGATGATGATGATGATGATGATGATGATAAAAAATAATAATAAAAAAAAATAATAATAATAATAAAAAAATAATAATAATAATAATAATAAATAATAATAATAATAATAAAATAATAATAATAATAATAATAATAATAATAATAATAATAATAATAATAATAATAATAATAATAATAATAACAATAATAATAATGATAAAATTATCAATGACAATAATAGAAACACTGATACCAAGTTAATAATAATACTGACACAAAGATAACAACAACAATAATAAAGCAACATAACTGAACAAAAAACAAACAAACTAAGAACTGATGCTGCATTTTAATTTATAATTTTGATTTTTTTTTTTTTCCCCCCAAAAAAATAATCAATGAATCACCAAGTTCATAAGATACTATTGCACTTTTGGAAGCATGTGACCTTAGTGTTGTATCCTATAGCTTTGGTTCTATCATATAAAATCTACATAATATTGCAACCAAAACAACCTGTGGTTTGTAGAGGTAATCAATGTCAACCCTATCACAATCAATGTTGTCATTAAACTTAATTATGAAATACTAATTACTGGACCATCCTTATGCATCATCTATCAATGTAAGTAGTAAGTATCACATGTATCATCACAAAGCGAGAGACAGGGTAAAAAAAAAAAAATCCCTTACCTAGAATGTAGTGTGTTTTGGATCCTTTCTCATTATAAAGCAATACTTTTTTTCACTGTATTTAAGCAAAAAGTGACAATAAACCCCCCCTGCTTTATTACTCTGGCTTTATTTTGGGGTTCGGATTAACAGCCAAGGCTTCCGCGGCCACTTCAATGCACTCGTTGGAGCAGAAAACCCAATTCTTGGACATTTTGAAACGTTTACCCATCAGCGGCTGCTTACAGGAGTAGCATTTGAAACACTGGGGAGTGGCGTGGTAGAAATACCCTCGATGGCCGCAGCGATTCATCTCAGGGGATATCTTCTCTTCGCAGGCCTCACACATCTGGAAAGTTCATCAAGTTTACAGACTGAATTCAGTAATCCCCTTGGCCTTCATTTTCTACCAACAGGTCCTCTGTTCCTTCAGGAGAAAGGGGGGACTAAAAGGAGAAAATGGAGGGAATATATTGGTTTATAGGAAATATCAATGACTTCCTATAGGTTCTTAACCCATTCGGGACAAGTAAAAATGAACAAAAAATGGGGAAAATGCTGTGCTCATTTTTTATACTTTTTGTGAAATGTCTGTACACATAGATCAGGTAAGTACTCTGCCTTACCTGATTTCATTTGGCGGGAAAATGTATTTTTTACTAATGCTATGAATATCAATGGTTATTTTTATTATAAACATTATAATTACTATAATGTTATAAACATCAGTAACAGCAAAATAAGATAACGTAAAATATTTTTATAAATTAAAGAAAAGGGTAAACGGGCGAGACAGGCAGTACAAGTACAAGTATAGCCATCTATGTGTAAAAACAATTAAACAAGTAATCTCACAGTGGGCATGTCACGTATACGTGACACCCAGGCAAATGGGTTAATAACTTCTCATAAGTTCTTAAAAATTAGCTAATGAGTATCATAGTGTATCAGTCGATGGTTATTCACATTAAAATTATTGAGAAATATGTTTTACAGCTAAAAAGTCTGACACCTATTTCAGTCACCTATATAAGTGTAGAGAATATTAAGGGGATACCATAAAATATGAATATGAACTACAATTTAGTCTTAAACAATCCTGACACCAATTGTAGAAAGCACAAGGTAGCAGCTCTCACCCTCTATCACTAGCCCAGGGATGTTGAATTTTAATCATGAGTCACCAGGAATGACATGAACGTACATGCCATGCCCACTGTGAATTTATTTTATTAATATGTTTTTGTACACAGTGGACTCCACAAATACTAAGTCCCCCATGAACTAATTACAAGTACTACCTGTCTCACCTGTTTACCCTTTCCCTTGATTTTTGAAAATATTTTCAGGTATCTAACATTGCTGTTAGTAATGACAATAACATTATAACAATCATAAAGTCTATAAAAAATTAGCAGCATCGATATTAATAGCATTGGTAAAAAATATATTTTCCTGAGGCATCTGGGTTAACATGACTAAGGTAGAAGTTTCATGACAGGCTTTTTAAAATTCTATGTAAGCTTTAGAACAACTGGCTACATTAAGATGCATTATCTTTTACACAGAATCTCACTGTGACTTTCTGGATATCTTTAGATGTTAACCTTTAGGGGTTAAGAAAACCATCTCCACGTAAATCAGTATACTGTCGAAATCAGCAAAATCTGGGTTAACGGAATTATTCAAATTATTTGGATGCATATCTAGCAGATGGGATACAAATAAAAACTAAGAGCATCTAAACAACCACAATTACACTTTGGCACAGTGCTCTGTTAGGAAAGTGCTTAACCACATCTTTCCAAAACTGACTCAGTGTGTACTTATCATAAAGCTATTTCCAAAGTATTTACTAACTGAGAATGAGTTCAAGCTACCACAAAAGAATCAAAACTGTTTCATTCCTACCTTGGCTAAGCAAGCCATGTAGCAGGGAAGACAATATGGATATCCATCTTTGTCCGGAACATAGCGCTGTCCAGCCAATTCCAAATCACACATATAACAGCTGAAGTGGTGGATATGCCAGTCATATCCATCAGCCCTCGTCCATGAGTTGCCAAAAATCAGCTGGTGTGGGAAAGGAAGATTATGTATCACACAAGATGGTTTTGCAACTAAAAATAATGTAACTTAAATGTATTCATTTCAGAAATCAATTATCACACACTTAAAAAACCTTTATTTTACAATAAAAGAATACATATAGCCCTTAACACTGACACAAATTCAATTAGGTCTTTAGTAATGTTTATGCTTGCCTACTAATCTGAGGTAAAGACTCATAAAATAGGGAACGCACTGGAACAGACAGACTACATTCAATGAAATAAAGTACTATAAGCATTTCTTCAGAAGAAATGTAATGACAATCAACCATACTAAACTAAAGTAAATGAATAATAAAATAGGATTATATTCATGCCAATCCTAATGAATAGTGAGGAGGCTTGATTTTCCTGTGAATTTAAGTAACTGGTAAATGAAAAATAAAGAAATCATTCATATAAAAGTCAGTAACATAAATACAGTCAGCAGACACCCATTACTTTTCTAAAAGATTTCATAAATCTCTTGAAATAAAGCAACTGTTCAAGTGCTAAAAAGGGTAGACTAGCAATGGCCAATTTCTTCTTACTCCTCCTCATTACTGCCCACACTTTTAAAATCATCTAAGCTCAAGTGAAATGTTACAAAAATACCTCCACTCAAGACTCTGGAGTTAAGGCAAAGTTCAATAAAACATATGCCGATGAAATTCATTATAAGACTATCAACATGTAAGAACAGTCAACATTAAGGAGTTATTAGTGCAACTTCAGAACCTAAATAATGGCCATTAGTATGACTTAGTCTCTTCAAACAAGAATATTATTACAAAGAATTAAATTTAAGAACCTTCTTCTAACTTATCTAACCTTCTTATGTAACAGCTAATTTAAGTGAGAATGAATGGAAGGAATAGAGGTAAAAGGCAATTCATAAATAAAAGTAAACATCGAAAGTCTTGAGCCAACAATTAAATAAAAAGTAAAATCCCAAATTAACACAATTCTTCCTATGTCCCTGATGTAATGAAAGCTGTAAATGCTTCTCAATTTTTTTGGTGTTTGAAAGTTAAAATCATATTTGGATCTTTTAGGTTGGTAACTTCTTGCCATTTATTTTATTAGTCTGCAAAGTCAAAAGGAATTAGAAAAGAGAGAAAGAGAGAATAAAGAGAGAAATCTACCAAGCATGCTTGCCTTACCTCATCACAAGCTCTGCATCTCGGCATTTCTGCAGCATCGGTGAAGTGACGTCCGCAGAACACATTCCCATCCTTGTAGAAGTAGATCAAGTCAGCCAGCAACTCTTTGCATGTAAAGCAGCAGAAGCAAGCAGGATGCCAGCACTGGAAAGAGAGGGAAAGTTTTAAAGTTGTAGTAGCCGTGGCCTCAACCAGCACACCTTACGCAAGTCAGGTTGGGCCATGACGGGTCTACCAGCCTTGTCTTCATTGGTTAATTGGATTTTGGAGACAACACCCTCCAACCTGGAGATCTCCAATCAACCTACTTATAACCTTATATATGAATAATGAAACAAAATCTAGTTTAAAATACCCACAAAGTCAGTTGGCTTATTCCCATACATTGTTTATAGAGACAAATACACTCCTTATCAGCAATAATATATTCCTTAATACATTAACTCTAACAGGATGATTAACATATGAATGTTTGTATAAACCTAGAAAGAAAAAAAAAATTATCAATACTAAGAAATAACCCTATATCAGGCAAAAAATGAGGCTTTGAAAAAAAAATTTTGCTACAACAAATAACTGCAATTTACAAACACATGAGCAGTCAGCATTCAAAATCTTTTTGAAAATACTCCTATTCACGTTTTCTACACAAAAAAAAATCAAACACGGAGCCCAAACCTTATCTTGCCCTGCTCGCTCGCAGAAAATGGCTACATCTCCGACATTCATGGGGAGGCTGCAATACTGGCAGGAGAACTTGCTCTTCTGTCCCGCAGGGGTGGTGCTGCCTGGCTGGGAGCCGATGATCTGACTTTCCCCTGGGAAGAGCACATTCACATCTTGCCCTGGAGCAATGCAAGACCCACCTAAAAAGGAAACAAAAGTCTTGAAATGTGACTCATTTTTTCTGAAAGATTTGTCTTAATGAGGTATATACAGACAGGAATATCTTTAAAATGAAATAAAGATATGTGAATAAATACAATACATATTATCATCTTAAATAAAGAAAAATAACTATAAACAGGGAGAGGAAGAGAGGGAGAGAGGGAGAGAGGGAGAGGGAGAGGGAGAGGGAGAGGGAGAGGGAGAGGGAGAGGGAGAGGGAGAGGGAGAGGGAGAGGGAGAGGGAGAGGGAGAGGGAGAGGGAGAGTAAGGGGGGAGAGAGATTGTAGGATAATAAAACAAAAACCTTATAAAAGGAAATGATGAAAGGAAATGATGAGAGGAAATACCTGTAAGGGTGTCCACACGTGCACCATAAGGAGCTTGAGTTGCTTCCACTGCTGTGATGTTCCCTGGCATCCGAGGCATCTGTTGCTGCATTCCCTTTTCTGGTGAATACCCTGGCTGACCTGGTTGCCCCTGAACATACCCAGGTTGATCCGGCTGGCCTGCCATGTATCCTGGTTGACCTGGTTGTCCATGAGCATACCCTGGTTGACCTGGCTGGCCCTGGGTATATCCGGGTTGACCTGGCTGGCCCTGGGTATATCCAGGTTGACCTGGCTGGCCCTGGGTATATCCAGGTTGACCTGGCTGGCCCTGGGTATATCCGGGTTGACCTGGCTTGCCCTGGGTATATCCGGGTTGACCTGGCTGGCCCTGTGTATATCCAGGTTGACCTGGCTGGCCCTGGGTATATCCAGGTTGACCTGGCTGGCCATAAGCATATCCTGGTTGGCCTGGCTGACCTTGAGCATATCCTGGTTGACCTGGCTGTCCTTGAGCATATCCTGGTTGACCTGGCTGAGAACCAGCGGGTCCTGATGTATAACCTGGTTGACCTGGAGAGCCAGGTTGACCTGGTTTATATCCTGGCTGTCCTGGTACATAGCCAGGCTGACCAGGAATCTGTTCCTGGCCTGGGATGTAGCCCTGTTCAGTTCCCTGTCCCTGTTGAAAATAAATGTCTTCCATACACAGAAAGTTCAACCCCTTTACTATATATCATCTGATAAAAATGCTCTAACATATTTTGAAGGAAGAATTTCATTCTCTACTCACTTACTTTCAAAAACAGTAATCAATTACAATTTCAAAGTAATAAAAACAACAAGAGCATCTACCTACCTGTGGTTGCACTTGAAGGTTAGCCATCCCAGCTGTAACATTATCTAGAGGCTGGTTCCTTGCCAAGCTTGTGAGGGGCCTGCTGGTGCCAAGCTTCCCACCATAAGCCTCGCTGTGTACTGGATCCTCTGGCCTGCTGGTCACATTTAGGTAAGGCTCCTCAATCATTCCACCCAGGAACTGCTGGCGTGGATCATTCACGTTGATGTTACCCTGGTTATCATTCTGGTTGCCTGTTGGGCCACTATATTGTCCCTGTGAGCCTGGGGTGTTATCTTGTGGCATGTAGGAACCAGGGGGCATCATCTGACCCATTGAAGAATCAGGGTGATATCCAATGTTTCCATTAGCATCAATATCACCTGTCATCAGTGGAGCATTAGAGCCAGGCATCCTCTGAGAGTGCAGTGGCTGTGCCATTGAAACTGGTGCTCCAACAATTTCCTGCACCATGCCTTGTCCAGCCACTTGGGTCTTGATGCGTTCGAGGTAAGCATGGAAGCTCTGCAACTCCTCAGGAGGCAAGTTATCACAACGCTGTGCAGCATCCATGTCATACAGGGGCAGCTGCTGCTCAAGCTGACGTTTGCGTTCTTTAGCTGCCTGAAATTGAAAATTTACGACCAATAGCAGCTAAAAGATTCCTTTACATAGACTATCAACATCTTATAAACAGACATATCCAATATACTTAGTTCAACAAGAGTTTATTCAAAGTAGCTGTAAGAATCAAAACATTCTGCAAACATACACACCTCAGTGCCAGCAATGGGCCTCTTCTCCACAGGAATCAAAGACATGTATCTTGAAGCCAGAGACTTCTCCACATTTGGCGGCACCCAGTCAAACTTGACATTCTCTGCCTTTCCTGTCTCTTCATTGATCATCTCCAAATTGTTTCCTGAAAGATTACCAGTCACATCAGTACTTCACCCAAGAATATTTGTCATAAAATATATTTACTGAAGTATGTTTTAGAGGCCAATACTTCAATCATTATCTCTTCTCTAGTTTTTACAAGAGCCACTTTGTATGCTTTAGTTAAATACATTATCATCTGACATTAGTACTCACACTATAATGATTATGCAAACAAGAAACTGAACTAAGACTAAGCTTATCAAATTAGCTTCTATTCCTAATCATAAAACTATTACTAACATTGAAACAAATCATCCAATTCAATCTGCAAACAAACACTTAATCAGTGATATTACCATGGCAGTACTCCAGCTCTTCTTTCTTGGTGCGAGGCGGCCGGTCAAACAATTTGCCAATGACTATCCGTCCAATGTCTTCATCATCCTCTTCAACTTCATGATCATATATACCGCAGCGGCAGTTCATGCATAACTTCCTGTAAAGAAAAAGTTTGCTTGGTTTGTTTGTTTCATTGCATAAACAGAGATCATTTGCAATTATAATATTTGATTCAATGCTGACTGTTTTGGAAATACTTTTTATTATTTTTTATTGTTATTAGTATTGTTAATATAAAATAAATAGTACCCATATTAATAGCATTCGAAAAAAAAAATCCAAAAACTCAAGATATAAGAAATCAGGTGACGTAGTGTTGGCCTATTAATTAATTCCCTAGTGACTGTGAACTTGTGTAGCTATTTATGTATAACCATTCACAACACAAAACTTCAGTGGCTATAGTATACTCTTGGTTGTGTAATTGAAAATAAGGATCATCCTCAAAGAATCCTCAAAGAAATTTTTCGGATGTGAAATTTTTGAGAAAGGGAGTTCTCAAAGCCCGTGGTCTAACAATTACCATTATTTCAAATATAGATTAATATTGCAAATACTAGATGTCATCAGGCACTCTGAAGGTATAATCTAAACTAAAAAAAAATCCATACATGCAATGTTACGTTAGGAAATAATATGAACTCATATTTCTACCAAGTCCATATACAACTCTTCTGTGAAATATAAAGTCAAGAAGAAAAATGCAAACACAGTAAGAAAGAGATAGTTCATCATAATTCATAGTTCATCAAATGATATAAACAAAAGGGTGTCTCTTTCTATCTCTGTAAACATGTTACATTACACTATCAGTAATTATGTTCACACACAGTTATAAATGTAAGGCAAACCTCCCACTCTCCATGCCTCCCTACTTACCATCCATCATTCCCTATCACCACCTATCCAAAGAAAAGTCAATATATTATGTGTATTATCATTTTGTTATGCCAATTATATGTCATATAAGAGATGCAGCCTCAAATGACATCAATAATGCTCTTATAACTTTAACCCACTGGTGCCAGGAACAGGCGATGTCAGCACTAGTTTCATTCCGTGAATTGTGTTCACAAACTGATGAAGCTATGTATGAACACAATTACAACCAAGATTATGTGAACATGGCATTACAGGCTTGCTGTCCCCGAAGGCAATGGGTTACAAGCAATTATTTATTCTTATTCCCCAACTCTAGGATTTATAGTTAAGTCTGTGGAACTATATTTTAAGTGAAAAATACAGAAAGCAATCAATTATCTTTTATTATTTCCTGACTGAAAGACCAAATACATGGTACCAGGAAAGTTTCTCGAGATCTATAGATCTATAGAGTATTTTCAGATTTTTTTTTTCTTCTGATCTCTTTCCATCTTTAATGAAACACTATACTCCCAAAATCAGCCAACTAGATAACATTCACTTTAACTTCTCTCAAATCTTTGGACTCCGATAACAATTATACTCTGTAAATGGGAAAATAAAATATAATGCTTAAAACCTTTTAAATCCTTAATCATGTTAACCTATTAACCCATTCGCGACGGGTGTCACATATCTGTGACATGCCCACTGTGAGTTTACTTGTTTAATTGATTTTACTCATAGATGGCTACACATGTACTTGTACTGCCTGTCTTGTCCGTTAACCTTATTCTTTAATTTACGAAAATATTTTACGTTATCTTATTTTGCTATGACTAATGTTTATAACATTATAGTAATTATAATGTTTATAATAAAAATTACCATCGATATTAAAAGTACTAGTAAAAAATACATTTTCCCGCCAATTCAAGTAAAGGTGAAGTCAGGTAAGGCAGAGCCATCTATGTGTAGAGACATTTCACAAAAAAAATATAAAAAATGAGCACAGCATTTTCCCCATCTTTTATTCATTTTCCCCGTCGGCAATGGGTTAAGTTGATTCTTTTAAGCCTCATACTTTGAAAAGGTCCCATTAAAAACGACAAAAGCCTCATAACACATTAAACCTTTTCCTCTCACATTCCCCTTCCACACACCATACTATTACATATCACACCGGTACCTCCTGGTATATCACTGTCTTATTGCTACTTATCCATCAAGATACTTCGCTTCAAGTTTCTATGTATTGACATATTCATAATTCTGCTGCCTTATTTTCTTTGACATGGGAATGAAATCTGCATTTTCTGCGACATAAAACAGAGCTCTACAAATGCCAAAAATTTTGCCTACTTGAAATTGAATTAATCCTAACTGTTTGGCGGCTGTGGGGGCAGATAAGATGGGGGGTTTGTGGTTCTTAGGGGTTAATTTAAATCCATAGGCTCTGTTCCTAATACGTTTTTGTATACATTTGCAAATTCCTTGTTTACTCTATACTGAAATCATTATCAGCTTAAAGGTATTCTTCATGAAATCTATAGTCTATCTGACAATTTTTTTCATCATCAGAATCAGTATAATCATAATACTAATAATACCTAACAATAAAAAAAGTAAATATAATAATAAAAAAATACATGAATCCTTAAAACTAGATCCACAAACTCACCTCCAAAAATGTAGTTCAAACCCAGGACATTTATCCCCGCATTTCTTGCACTTGGCTCCGGCTCCGATCTCATGGGCAAGCCTGGGTCTTCGTTTCCTTCTGTTTTCTATGTCGAAGATGTAGGGGTTGGGACGGACGCTGCTGACTTCGGCTTCGGCTGACATCTTGGCACCTATATATTTGTACTGAAATTTAAAGGATTTAATTTTAATAATGATAATATCAATTGAAAGGATAACTGTTTAAAACACAGCTTAATGAAATGATGTGAAGGCCTCTTTTCCTCCATATATATTGGGTAAGACTGAGCTTTTCCAATAAACAGCTAAGATCGTCAAACTTTATTTAACCAAAAGTACTATTTTGTGTTTTTCTATAACCAATGCCTTAGTCCTTTATTTTCATGAATTCACGTACTCCTATTTTGAAGATTCTTCACAGAGAGCATTTCAGGAGTGGCATCTCTCTGCACGTATACATATATTGGAGGAAGGTGCAAATTCCAATCTTGCATTTGATTCATTTCTAGTTATTTATTTTTGTACTATGAATATCATGATTATTGCTATAAAGATTCATTAAGGTAATTGTGCATTTAGGAACCTCACACATTCTATCGGTAAAAAATTAACTATCTATTTTTGTTTCCACTTCATTTTTCTTTTTCTACGCAAAAATCCTGAAAACCAACATGGTTCAATTTAAATTTTGAAAAGTCTAAAAAACATTATTTCAATATCTGGATCTATACGATAAGTTGCTGTTAAAAGCTGTATATACACCATTAAACAACACAGTTTGCAAGTGAATTCTGTTTATTGTATTCCAAAGAATGAAAAATATTATTCATAAAATAATATAAATACTATACTTCCATTTACGTGGTAACGAATGATATACTTTTTTTCCCAAAAGCATTTCAAGAACCAATGTTAAATCATACATACATAGCACATAGTCAGAATACAAAACACTTTGCATTCTACATAAATAAATGATTACATACATTAAAAAAGAAAACACGAAACAACTACTCTTACATTATTAACATCATACGACACCTATAAAATAACCCATAAGATCATACCTACCAAAAACAACAAAAATCACGAGTTGCTCAAACAACCACTTGGCATCACCTCACAGAGATCCTCAGAACTGTGGATTTTGCCTCTTCCTTGCCTTATCTTATCAACAGCGATGTTTCAAAGCAAAACATATTATCTCGTAATACATCACCCAAAACCCCTGACATTAATCTCCTTGGCTAACAGTACAACAAAGATGCATTTGCTGTCCGATTTGACTTTACCTTTATTCTCTTGATATCTAATCATCATTAAAAGAATTTGTGCAACATATATTCAAATAGTAAATGTTTATGAGGGTATTTTGATATCTTATCTAGATTACCTGATTGCTGCTGTAACTGCAACTGCTACTTCTACTGAATGTATTCATACATGAATGAATTATATACATTTACATGCATATATACTATGTGGCTGTATATATAAGTATGTATGTATGTATGTATGTATATATAAGTATGTATGTATGTATGTATGTATGTATGTATGTGTACATATATATACCTATATATACATATACATACTTATATTGAGAGATAAATAGATAGATAGATAGAAAGATTGATATATCTAGATATAAGTGAGTGTGAGAGTGAGTATGAGCATAAGTATGAGTATGAGTCTAAGTATGAGTATGAGTATGAGTATGAGTATGGGTATGGGTATGAGTATGAGTATGAGTATGAGTATGAGTATGAGTATGAGTATGAGTATGAGTATGAGTATGAGTATGAGTATGAGTATGAGTATGAGTATGAGTATGAGTATGAGTATGAGTATGAGTATGAGTATGAGTATGAGTATGAGTATGAGTATGAGTATGAGTATGAGTATGAGTATGAGTATGAGTATGAGTATGAGTATGAGTATGAGTATGAGTATTCATAAAATAATAATAATAATAATATAATAATAATAATAATAAATAATAATAATAATATAATAATAATAATATCAATAATAATAATATCAATAATAATAATATCAATAATAATAATATCAATA